TGTGAGAGTAGCTGTTTCCCTGAACCTCTTGCTAGCACTAGTTAGCTTTGGATTATTATTAATTTTATTTTATTTTTTTTTGCGGTGGAGAGGTGGGGGGTGGTAGGGGTGGTGGGGGAGTGAGTGGTGGAGGTGGGGGTGGGGGGGTTGGCAAGTCGGGGGGTTGGCGAGGAGGTGGGGTTGGTGGGGTGGGTCTGTTTTGATTTTGTTTTTAAAAATCTTTCCGAGATGTAAAGTTAACAAACACAAATATGGAATATCTGGGTAAATTTGAATTTTAAATTTAAAAAAATCAAATCAACCATCTACATCAACCAGAGGCATGTTTCTAGTCTTTTCTTTGGTATCATCAGTATTTATTTTCTCCACCCTACACGTATATTTGCTATTTAAATTTGCATATTCTTAAGGTTTAGCAACGTCAAGCATAATTACTGGTCATTTTTATGTCCTTTTAGAGAACTGTTTAAGTCTTTTGCTTCTTTCGCCAGTGTCATTGTGTTCCTTAATGATTTGGAAGAATGTTATCTTGTGGAAGTAGACACTGTTATATATGTCCCAATGTTCCTGTAGATTACTTTTATTGTTTTTTTCCCTTCCAGAGTGTTTTATTTTTATGTAGTCCAATTTATCAAGTTGTGTCACTATGAGTTTCTCAAATCCCCTGGATGCCTTGTAGAAATACAAATTCTCAAGCCTCTATGCCAGACTTCATTCAGCTCATTTCTCGGGATAAAACTTGGGATTCTGTACTTTTTGTACAAAGCTCCCCAGGGGATTTTCTTTCTCCTTTTCTGTTTCCCTCCTTTCTATTTCCCTCTCATATATGCTTCCAAACTTTATATTACCCAATGATCAGTGTTGAAGAATTTGCTAAAATTATCAGAATACTGAAGTAAACATGCTAACGATGCAATTGGAAGCTACTGTCATCGTCTCAAAGAGTGCACTGATGGGATAAGGTCAAAATGATATGCTTTTTCAGTTACTGACTTCACAGAGAAGAAAAAAGAAAAATTGTAATGATTTCCTGTGACATAAAAAGAATTATGGAAATCCACAAGAATATTCAAAAATAGAGAATATACTAAAAAATTCTCATGAACCTAACCTGGTGCATGCCTGTAATTCCACCCACTCAGGTGGCTGAGCCAGAAGGATCACAAGTTTGAGGCTAGCCCCAACAACTTAGTAAGAATATGTCTCAAAATAAAACAGAAAAAGGGCTGGTGATATAACTCATTATACAGTGCCCCTGGGTTCAATCCCCAGTACTGGGGGCGGGGGGGGGGGGGGGGGCAGAAATTCCCACATATTTATTACCTAGTTTCAACAATTATCCATCTATGGGCAATTTTGTTTCCTCTGCATCCTTCATTCCCCAGGTTATTTTTTAAAGAGATTCCTAAACTCATTTGAATTTGAGATTTTCAGGTTTCATATTATCCTTAAAAAATTATTTCCAACTTCAAGAAAATATTTACTTGTGCTTTTTTTTCTAGCTAGTACATGTATAATCTAATTTTCTTTGGTTTTAATTTCAAGAGTTTGAAGTTGAAAATAAGAGATATTAGGGGTAATATTAAGGAGTAGGTAGTGGAAATGTCTTCTACAAGAGATTTCAAATATCTGTTCTTTAGAATTTTATCTAACAGTATTTAATACCAGACTTTTCTTTCTTTTTGGTACTAGGGATTGAAGCCAAGGGTTCTTTACCACTAAGCTACATCCCTAAATCATTTTTATTTTGAGTTGCTGAGGCTGGCCTCAAATTTGCAATCCTCCTGCCTCAGCCTCCTGAGTTGCTGGGATTACAAGGATGTGCCACCATCCCTGACAACATCAGAATTTTCTTACATGTTATGTACAGTTGGCAAGATTTTTAAAACAATTATTAGTGTATGTCTCCTTCTTCCTTCCATCCTCTTCTTCTATGGTAGTCTTTCTTCTACTTTCAATGTTGTTGCCCCCACCACATTCTACACAAGGGAAAACACAATGCCTGTCTGTGTCTGACTTATTTTGCTTAATTTGATGTTTTCCAGTTCCACCATTTTCCTGCAAATGGCATTTCATTCTTTCTTATGGCTGTATAATACTCCATTGTGTGTGTGTGTGTGTATATATAATATATAAATATAATACATATATATATATATAGTATATGTAATATATATAAATATATATTTATACTATATTTATATTTCCTCCATAATATGCTGAATTAATTCCTTTGGGTATACACCAAGTAATGATATAGCTGGATATCAGTTCTATTTTTAGTTTTTTGAGAAACCTCCATACTGATTTCCTTAGTAGCTGTAATAATTGACATTTTCCACCAATAATGCATTTTTGTTGTGGTGGTGGTGGTGCTGGAGATGGAACCCAAGGCCTTGTGCGTGCTAGGTAAGTACTCTCTCACTGAGCCACATCCCCAACCCCAAGGTATTGCTTCTTGTATTCTTGATGATAGCCCTTCTGACTGGGGTAAGATGGAATCTCAGTGTAGTTTGATTTGCATTTCCCTGATGGCTAAAGATTTTGAACATTTTTTTTCATATAATTATTGGCCATCTGTAAAAAAGTATCTGTTCAGTTCATTTGTCAATTTATTGTGTGTATATTTGGTGTGTTTTGAGTTCTTCATTTACTCTGGATATTAGTCCTAGCAAGATTCTTATCTACAGTGTTATGTATTTGTCACCTGATGTTCATATTTAATGTTTTATTTATTTATTTAAATTTAAGATTCTTATTTATTGCTTCCAATATAAAATATAAGCACATTAGAAACATTTTGAAAAGGAAAAAGATTCACCACGATAGTACAAAAATTGCTTCAGCATTTTGGTTTATTTCTTTAGGCTTCGGATTAATACAAAATACTGAGTGTTTCAAGCACTGTAGAGAAGACAGAAAAAGGCTACTTCTTACTGTCCTAATTTTTTTTTTCATTCTTCAAAGCATTTTTTTTCTTTCCAGCAGAAGACCAAAAACATTACACAGTTACAAAGACTGATTCTCCAGTTTGCACAGCCTCTAATCAAGTTTTTTTTTCTGCGAAGAACACAGTTCTACTACTCAGAACAATTCTTGAAGGAAATCTAGGTACTATTGCCTTTCTGAGTTATCTAGGCAGAGAACTAGATCACAGCCCCTGCTCTGCATGCTCAGAATGTTTAACTGGTCAGAGTATGAAGTGGATGCAACTGGAGGCACCCAAACTCAGTATGAATGGGAGAAGTAAGGGAGTCACTTATGACCATTACCTAAAAAGTTGACTGTCCAAATATACATGTGAAACCATTCGGAGTCACCGTGACTGTACATCACCACTCTTATTTGAAATGGAAAAATTTCATATGCAGAAAAGTGTTTAAACCTTTTCTTATATCTTCCAAGGGGAAATTTAAATTGTAACTTCTTGGTTTAGTATTTTAGATTCCCTTTTGTGCTTCTCATCTTTAAGCCCAAGCAATAATATGTGCTGGCACTTTACGGAACATTTCATACTGCACATGGACACTCAAGATCAGCTTTAATTACAGGATATGTTTTAAAGGAAGTTCGAGAAGTATTTATGCATGAGCAACAATTAACAGTTCTAATGTTTTGAACATGAGAATTGAGTATATTGAGGCAGAGAGGCCCACAGCTATACATTACCCACCCATCTGAGTGATCACTGTGAACCAATATCGAGCTATGGTTTCTGAATCTACCTGTAAAATATGGATAACAGCACTACCTACATAGCTTAGAAATGTTTTATACGTGCACGCGCACACACACACACACACACACGTGTATTTACATATATATAGATATACATATATATATATATATATATATATGTGTGTGTGTGTGTGTGTGTGTATGTGTGTGTAATTTTATTCATTCATTGACATGCACGTAGGCTGGATTCCATAACTTGGCTATTATGAATTGTACCTTGATATACATAGGTATTTTGATCTTTAAAGAAGTGAGCTACCTAATTAATTGAGTATCCATTAATTCTTCTTGATGAGGGAATTATTCCTTGCTAAATATACTTTTAGATTTGTAGAATGGGGCCATGAACTCTTGGGCTCAAGTGATTGTACTGCCTCAGCCTCTTAAGTAGTTGAAACCACAGACAGCCAAGCTTGGCTGTTTACTTTTTGAGGAAATGCCAAACTACTTTCCAAAGTGGCCTCCTCATTTTACATCTCCACTAGCAACATATGAGAGTTCTAATTCCTCTGCAACCTCATTAATTTTGTGTTTGTTTTGTTTAAAATTATGGCCATGCTAGTGGGTATAAAGCAGTATCTTTCTATGGTTATTTATATTCTCCTAAGGATGTTGAACATTTTCTCATGTGCTTTTGGCCATTTCTACATCCTCTTTGAGGAAATAGTTGATTCAAATACTTTGTCCATTTCTAAGTTGGGCTACTTTTTAATCATTGAGCTATAGGAGTTCCTTATAACCTCACAGGGAGATCCTTTCAAGATTATAGTTAACATAGTAATAAGAGCTGACAGAGGGCGAGACTGAGCCATAACATATTTTGAACCCATATATCCATGCATGCACAGTCAGATCTACCTAAATGGACCCTGATTTTAATGAATAGAGGGATAATCCCCCACATCAAAGTTTCTCAAGTAGAATGATAATTTTTTCCTCATTATTTTTTTCTGATCTATCACCAGACCCTACCCTATACTGTGGGGAATTTTATCCTCAAGGGTCTAGCAGGCATTCCTCTAAAATATGGGGGAAGACTGAATGATCCCTGCCACAACTAAAAGAAGTGCCACCACCCTCAAGCCCTAGAGGACCCTTGCAGAAATTCCAAACCACAGAAACTTTTGCATGACCTTCATAATTCTTATAAAATGCCACAACTTAAAAACAAAGCATTTCTTAAATAATGCTCTGAGGCAACAATACTATGGAAACATATTAATTGACTTCAAAGAGGAAGAAACATACCAAAAAGGCAGAAATAGGATCTATAAGATACATTTATTGAATACTTACTGGTCATATTATATACAAAAGAGGTAGAAGGGGCAAGTAAGAACTTGAATAAATGAAATATACATACTCATCACTAATTACAACTACTAGAGAAGTACAAAATTTGTACAAGTTATACATTATAATGAAATTTTGATGCTTGTCAAAAGGAAAATAAGCTACACATATATTCCAATAAAATTTTTTTAAAATTGTGCTTATCATACACTTTCCCTAAAATGGGTTTATAAAATGCCCAGCATCCATTCTTATTATACATATATATTTGTTATTAAAGATTGCTTGAATAGAACAAATGACATCATTGCTGAGAAATTCATGGTCAACAATGACATATACAGTCCCTCTAAGAAACATCATAGCATTCGCAGTAAGTCCATTTCTCCATTGAAGTCCACCTTACTTTCAATTTAGTTTACTACCACGTTCTCCTCAGAACTGTTCATATGTCTTTTGTCTGATCATCTTCTTCAAGTTTCCTGATTTCATTTTTTAAACAATTTATAGTTTCACGACTTGCTTTTAATCTCTCCTTAAGCTCAGCAATTTCAAAGCTTGTTTTTTTCTTGGCAGCTTCTAATTTTTCTCTGGTTTTCACTTCAAGTTCTGCAACTAAGGAAACAAATAATTATACTGAATTAATTTTTCTCACAAGTCTAAGATGTTTCATAAATTTGGTATTTCCTTAGGTCAATGCTTTCATGATGAAATGTTACAATTTCAGATATATCATATCATATTAAACATGAACGGGCAGTGGAAGGTAAGGAAGTCTGAATTCCCAAGAGAGAATGTAAAACTTGGTTTTTTTGTAGTTAAGAATGAAATTCTAGCCACTAACTCTTTGTTAAGGTTTTAAGACACTTGCTTGTTTTTTTTTTTCCTAATACACATTAATTTGGAAGTAAGAGAGCATTCAAGTCTAAGAGACAGCAACTAATAAGAGCCAATTAAAAGTATACTTAAATTGATGTACAAGTGAAAAATTACATTTAAAAAATCCTGTTTTTTTTTTTTTTTTTTTTACAAAAGTATCAATAATTGTTTAGATTTGAATTCCAGTTCTACCAGTTATTAGTTGTGACACATGAAGCAATTTCATCTCTGTGCTCATTTCTTCACTTACAAAACAGAAATTAGAATAACAAATACCTCATGGCATTGTTTTTTGAGAAGATTTTAGGTACCTTTGTATGCTAGGCAAGTGCTTTATTACTAAGCTATATCCCTAGCTCTTGAGAAGGTTTTAAAAGAATTAATGTATATGAAGTACCCAGAAAACTGCCCAGTTCATAAAAAGCCTTATCACTTATTATGATGACAAAGGACCATTAAATATTTGAAAAATTCTATCCAGATACATAATAAATTGCTGCAAAATAGGATACTTTTATTTAAATATGCCAGTTAGACAGTGTAACATAAATTATGTCACAAAGAAAAATGCCCGCTAGCATGCAACAGTGCCATCTTGTGGACATTTTAGGTAATTGTTGCTGGTAATTATTAAAGTACAGTCACATTTTCACAAATTTAGGGTGGTCACTAGTTGAAAACAGGATGGTTTGGTGAAAAAACACAACTGAGAAATCTGCTTTCTGATTGAGTTCAAAATACAAAAATACACCCTTAGCCCCTTATTAGCTAAATGTGGATATATCTCTTAAGTATCCCTCAATTTCTTCCTCTATGAGATACAGTGAAAACTAGGTGTTTCTCAGGATTTGAGGATTAACTAAAGTAATTACAAAGTATCTATCACATTAAAAAAACAGGTAGTAAATATGAGTACTTTCATTATTTTGCTTTTTGTTGTTTACTTTTTATTATACATTTTGTAACACAAACTCATGTATTGCCAAAACAATCCTTATATTTCTTCATGGCTTTTATTTTTTAAAATATGTATTTAAAAACAGGCATTAAATACATGATATAAAATTAAAAGGCTAAATAGGCAGAGAGTGAAAAAGTATTTTCTTCCACTCCTACCCTTGTCCCCCACCATTTAGTGCTTCTTCCCACAGATAATCACTGTGAGGTTTTTTTTGGTATCTTTCCAGAACAGTCTGTTGATATACATGCAAATATCCAACTGTTTTTACTTTGTATCATAGTACACACATTGTTCTGGACCTTGCTGTTTCATTTAATAATACTTTGTTAAGTTCATTTCATATCACAGAGATGTCTTATTCTTTTTAATGACTGTAGAAGTCTTCATTGAATGGATATACATGACCCATTTAGTCTGTCTTCTATTGATATAGAATATTTCCGCTCCCCCCCCCCTTTTTTTTTTTGGACAGGTACGGGGTTTTGCTAAATTGCCCAGGCTGGGCTTGAATTTATAATCCTCCTGAAAGTCTCCCAAGTTGCTGGAATTACTCTACTTTTTTCTATTATAAAAAAGCAATGTGTATGTTGTGCATAATCATTACAGTATACTTGCAGGTAAGTTCCTGTAAGTGGAAACATTAGGCTAAAGGTGATGTGTGTTACACACTTGTAACTTTGGAAGAATGCTAAGTACCTCATAAAGGACCTAGTCATTTATAATCCCACTGGGATTGTATATAAATTTCCCTACTGCACAACTATTTGGTCTACTAGTTTTAAATTTGCCTTTCTCATTCTCAGGCTGACTAATCTTTTATCTGTTAAGAGAAAGTTCTCATTTCTTTTCTATTCCTTTGCTCATTTTTCTATTTAATTACTGGCCTTTTCTTTTATTTGTAGGAGCTAATCATCTATGACACAAGCACAGCATTTTTCCATGGCTTGTCCCTCTATAGACTTTGTTCATAGTGCTTTTTTACTATGCAGAAATTTTTATTCCCTTGCATTCTCTCCTCCAATATTAATTTTAAAAATCATATTAAATGATAGATACTTTGTTAGATGCTGGGATACAAAGGTAGGACAGAGGCAAGGAAAAAAATGCAGTACAGTGTAATGAGGTAATCACAGAGAGACATAACAGTACACTGGATTCACATCAAAGGGAAAGCGTGTGTGTGACCAAGGAAAGCTTCTTGGCATTAGTTAAAATCTGAACTGAGTTTGAAAGAATGAGAAAGGAGTTAGGAGATGAATGAGAAAGGAGTTAGGAGATGAAGCAGGCCCTGGGAAACAAGAAATCCTGTATGATTGTAATAGTTTTAAATCTAGTTAGAAAGACTTGATTTAACTCAGTTGTCAGAAGACAGCATCCACTGCAGATATTACATTGATTCTTACATGATTTAGTCATGATACTTAGTTACTTACTTACTTACTTTATATGGTACTGGGGATTGAACTCAGAGGCACTTGACCACTAAGCCAAATCCCTAGCCTTATTTTGTATTTTATATAGAGATAGGATCTCAATGAGTTGCTTAAGCATCTTGCTTTTGCTAAGGCTGGCTTTGAACTTGTGATTCTCCTGCCTCAGCCTCCCAAGCTGCTGGGATAACAGGTGTATGCCACCATGATACTTTATTTTTGACAACTGCTAAGACTGCAAAGGGTATGATATAGTCAGAAGACCTGAGTTAATCAGTAATGAGATCCTGGAGGAAACCACTGAAGAACTTTCAGCTTGTTCTAATTTTATGCTTCCTATATATTAAATGCTTATATAAAAGTTTGCTTTTCATTTCCCAATGAAGTTTCAATTCAGAAGAAAACAATCCAAAAGAGAATTGTTACTTTTGTAGAGTCAGTATAACTTAAGAGTTAGGTGCACAGACTATATGGCTTTTATATAGACAAATCCAGGCCCCACTGGGTAATTCTCAAAGTTACCAAATCTGTCTAGTATTTTTATCTACAAAATGGAGCTAATCACAGTATGTTCCTCCTAGGGTTATAATATTAGATAAGCTAAAACATGTAAAGTGTTTACCAGTTGTCCCACTCCTCAGTTTATACCCAAAGGACTTAAAATCAGCATACTACAGTGATGCAGCCACTTCAACATTTATATGGTAAAGTCTACTGGTATATAGTAAACTCTATGTTCATTACTTTATTCCTTATAAAAGCAATGACTACTATTAAAATCTAGATCATTATTCCTTAAACTTTTATTGGCTTTTAGTATAAACATCTTTTAATATGTTCCATAATGAACCTCTATAGTGATCATTATCTAAAAACATTACTAAACTTTAAAACCTAAGGTTTTTTTTTTTTTTAATTAACATGTTAATTGTTTATTTCTGGAATTTTCTTGGCATGTGAGTGCGCTACTGCTTGAGCCACATCCCCAGCCCTGGAATTTTCCGTTTAATATTTTTGGATCAAGGTTGATCACAGGTATCTGAAACCTCAGAAAGCTATAGGGGTGGGCAACTGTACAGCATGATTTCTGTTTATTTATTTATTTGTTCTTTCTAGATATACATGACAGTGGAGTGTATTTTGACATATTATACAACACAGAATAAGTGTAACTTGTTCCAATTAGGATCCCATTATTGTGGTTGTACATGATGTTACATATATAAGAATAGGAAAGTTATATCCAATTCATTCTGTCTTTCCTATTCCCATTCTCTCTCCCTTCCCTTCATTTCCCTTTGTCTAGTCCAATGAACTTCTAATCTTCTCTTCCCTTGTTGTGAGTTAGCATCCACATATCAGAGAGAACATTCTGCCTTTGTTTCGGGGACTGTCTTATTTCACTTGGCATGACAGTCTTCAGTTCCATCCATTTACTGGCAAATGTCACAATTTCATTCTTTATGGCTGAGTAATATAGTCCATTGTGTTTATATACCACATTTTCTTTATCCATTCATCTGTTGTAGGGCACCTAGGATGGCACAATGGCTTGGCTATGTGAATTGAGCTGCTACAAATGTTGAAGTGGCTGCATCACTGTAGTATGCTGATTTTAAGTCCTTTGGGTATAAACTGAGGAGTGGGACAACTGGGTCAAATGGTGGTTCCATTCCAGGTTTTCTAAGGAAACTCTATACTGCTTTCCAGAGTGGTTGCACCAATTTGCAGTCTCACCAGCAATGTGTAAATGAACTTTTTTCCTCACATCCTCGCCAACATTTATTGTTACTTGTATTCTTGATAACTGCCATTCTGACTGGGGTAAGATGGAATCTCAAGAGTTGTTTTGATTTGCATTTTAGAGTCTATGATCTAAGGTAGAGTTATGGCTCTTCCACCAACCAGCTAAGTGATCCTGGTCAAGTTTCCCAACCTTCCTATGCTTCAGTTCCTTTTTCTAAACTGGATTACCTAATAAGGTTGTAGAAATAATGAGTACATATATGTATAGACGTCTAAGAGTAGAAATAATTAAGCAATCAGTAAATCAGATATTATAACAAAATATAATTGAATACCATGCCCTCAAATTGGTGCAAGTGTACATATCTTTTTTAGGCCTTTGATTAATACATCCAAATAATTTTCCTAAAAGCAATTTAGACTCACAGAAATGATTCATGAGAATCATGAATAAAGGTCACTGCTGGTGCAACTATTAAAATTTCCTTTTGCTGGGGCTGGGGTTGTGGCTCAGTGGCAGAGCGTTTGCCTAGCACACATGAAGCACTGGGTTCGATCCCCAGCACCACATAAAAAAACTAAATAAAGGTATTAAAAAAAAGTAATTGTTTCCTTTAAAAAAAATTCTTTCGGCTAATATGATAGGAAAAATATAATTACTCATTATTATTTGGTTTACATTTTTAAAATTACTTAAGTAAAGCTGAGCAAACAGCTTCCTATTTCCTATCTTTATTGTATATTCTTCCACCCACTTGACTTGTCCATGTCTTTTGCTCATTTAACTACTTTATAAAGTTAAACATTTTCTTCTGCTTATCAACTTTAGGGTTTCGTTTTGTTTTTGCAGTGCTGGGGGTCAAACCTAGAGTCCTGGGCATACTATCAATAGTTTTTTTTTTTTTCTTCGCCAAATAAAGATATTGATCCTTTGCCACATTTTCTGTAAGTCTTTCTTTGCCCTTCTTTTAATGTGACTTCTTCTAATGCCTTAAACTTAGAAAGTCCACCTTAGCCACAGTAAACAGTAATCTAATTAAAAAACAAAAAAGGTTGATGTGTGTGTGTGTTTGTGAGAGTTTGAATAGGACTTATTCAAGTGAGAAGAGACAAGAGCTCCTGTTGGGCAAATGGGGACCCATTAGGTATTGCTTAGATTGACTGATTTTTAAAATATATTTGATGGTCTAAACTGGAATTTGTTTTGGTAAATACTATGAAGCAATGATCTAAAATTAAGTTTCCTTTCAGAAGCTTACCATTGCACCAACACTATTTATAGAATTAATTTTTAATTTCTTACCAATTTGATGATTTAAAAAATGAACTAAAAATAATATAAAACCTGTAATTTACTGATCAAGACTTTCCAAGGTTACTAAGCTTTATACATAAGTTTAACACATCAAATTGACTTAAAGAACAGTTAATAAAACATATAATTTATATCTATTTACATACAAATGAATAATATTAGTTTTGCTGAAAACACAAAAATGTGGGCACTTAAGTTTTAAAAGAGAATTTTTTTCTATAAATGGGTGTACTACGTGGTATTAGAGAAAGTGAATAAAAACCAATTTAAATAGCATATAAGTAGTGCTAAAACCTTTTCAAAGTGATCATGTACACACCTATCTTATTATGTTCACAACAAAATGGGCCAGGCAAATATTTTTATAGATGTAGAAATTTGTGCATATAAATCGGCTACCAATTGCCAAAATTATAATTAGTATCCAGATCTTTTATTTATTTATTTGTAACAGGGATTGAACCCTGTGATGTTTAACCACTGAGCCACCTCCCTAGCCCCCCCCACCCCCCGCCCCTTTTGACACAGGGTCTCACTAAGTTGCTGAGGCTGGTTTTGAACTTGTGATCCTCCTACCTCAGCCTCTTGAGTTGTTGGGATTATAGGTGTGCACCACAATGCCTGGCGTATACAGATCTTTTAATTCCTAGATATGGGTTTCATGAAGATAAACCCTGCTGTAAACCACTAACAGTTAAACACTAATTGCCTTGTTCCCCACATTACCATTCTTCTACTCCTTCTACTATCAGATTATTCTTTCCAGTCCATGAATAAACTAGTTACTTCTCTAAGCCAATCCCCAAAAAACAAAGCCAAATGTTTTCTCTAATAAGTAGATGCTAATCCATAATGTGGGGGAGCATGGGATGAGTGGAGGAACTTTGGATTGGCTGGAAGGGAGGGGAGGGGGCACGGGGATAGGAAAGATGGTGGAATGTGATGGACATCATTACCCTAGGTGCATGTATGATCGCACAAATGGTGTGACCCTACTTCATGTACAACCAGAGAAGTGAAAAACTGTGCTGCATTTGTGTACAATCAATCAAATCTGCTGTCATGTATAATTTATTAGAACAAATAAAAAGAATAAACTAGTTACTTCTCCCTGAAAACAATATCCTCTTGACCCCATATCCTGTTTCTGCTATAAGGCCTACTGCTCCATTTTAGCCAAGCTTCAAGACAGAACCATCTATAGGGCCTGTCTCGATAATTTCTCTCATCTCATTTTCTCTTATCCACTTTAACTACTCCTGTTATGGGAATCAGGACTTCTACCTCTTTTTTTTGGTACTGGGGATTGAACTCAGGGGCACTTGACCACTGAGCCACATCCCCAGCCCTATTTTGTATTTTATTTAGAGACAGGGTCTCACTGAGTTGCTCAGCACCTCGCTGTTGCTGAGGCTGGCTTTGAACTCCTGAGCCACTGGTATTACAAGCGTGCACCATCACACCCAGCAAAACCTCTATCTTGCTATATCATTTCTTGCCCTGCAGAACTGAACACAGCTGATGACTTTTCTTAATACACTTTTTTCACTGGCTTTCAGGACATTTCATGCACTTTTTTTTTAAAGTATATTTTTAGTTGTAGATGGACATAATACCTTTATTTATTTTTAAGTGGTACTAAGGATCGAACCCAGTGCCTCCTGCATGTGAGACAAATACTCATGACTGACCTACAGCCCCAGCCCAATGTACCTGGTTTTTATCCCACCATATATGCTGTTCATTCTTAGTTTTGCTGGTCATCTCCTCAACCTCTCAATGTTGGAGTGCTCAGGGATCAGTACTTGGACCTCTCTTCTATCTTCATTCACTAATTTGATGATACCATTTGACCTCACAATTTATAATTCCATCCATACACTAGTAATTTTCCACATTTTTATCTTCAGCCTGAATCTCTCCTTGAATACCAGACACTTTAGGATGCAAACAGTTCTCTTAAGATCTCTAATTACATGTCTTACAGGCATCCTATATTCAACATGTCTAAAATCACATTCTTAATCTTTCCCCCAAATCTGCTCCCCCTAGACTTCCCATCTTATAAAAAGCAGTAACATTATTTGGGGGGGGGGGGTGTCCATTAAGCAAAAACCTTAAGTTATCCTTTGCTAATCTTTCTCCCACAGTTTATTATTCAAACCACCAGCAAATCCTACTTCACCTCTCTTTAAAATATGCCCAGAGCTGAACACGATGACACAGGCCTGTAATCCCAGTTACTTCTTGAGAAGCTGAGGCATGAGGATTCCAAGATCAAGGCCAGTCTAAGCAACTTGGTGAGGCCCTGTCCCATCCACCTTCAACATCCTGCCCAAACAATAACAACAAAAGATCCTTTTCTTTTGTTGTTATTGTTTGGGCAGGAATCTGATTCCTTTTCACTGTTTCACTGTTGCCATCATTTCAGCCCAAGCCACCATTCTATCATATCTAGATTACTAGAACAGCCTCCTAACAATTGAGTTTTCACCACTTCTGGTTTATACTCTATTCTCAACAGAGCAGCTAGTGGATCATTTTATAAAGTATTAATCTGATAAAGTTATAACTCTGCTCAGTACTCAAAAAATGACTTCATATCTTACTCAGTTTAATAATCTAAAGTCCTCACAGTTATCCACAAGTCCCTGTATGATCTGGTCCCCTATTAACTTGTCTGGCTTCCTTTCCCATTCCTCTTACCCTTATTCACCCTTCAGCCATGCTGGCCTCCTTGCTGCTTAGACAGGCCAGGCATGCTCTTACACTGGACTCCTGTCATTGCTGCTCCTTCTACATGTAACACTGTTGTCCCAGATCCCTACCTTACTCCTCTAGATCCTCAAATGTTATAATCCTAGGAAGTATTCATATTTGAAACTCTAACCATTTCCTCTTGCCAAAGAAGTTCCCTGTTCTGCTTTGTTTTTCTCCATAGGGTCCAACTGCTACCTTGTACTTTATTGTTCTATTTATTTAACATCTGTCTTCTCCCCAACAGAATGTGAACCCATGAGGGCAGATCTACACATTGGCCTATCCTTAGCACTTAGAACAGCAGTATATAACTGGTGCTCAATATATATTATTTATTGCATATATTATTAATTCAGTCAGAAAAATTACTGAATACTGACAAATATTAATACAGGGATGGCAAATAAGTTTCATCTTGAATGCCAACTGTTAATGACTGGCAGTTGATAAATGCAGTGATATATAAAGGATTCTGAGGCTATATCAGCTTAGACTAGAAATATGACTAATTATTAATGTAAAATTCTGATATTCACCACTTAAGTACTAACCTGAATCAATATGTAAAACAACATAGCTAAAAATATAAGATAAACTAGTTAACAGTACACAAAAATATAATTACATTCTAACAGGTTCTTCACAAAAATTTTGTTAGCAAAGACTAGTAAACAGACAATGAGTGGTAAGTAAAACTAATGAAAAGCTATATTAAAATGGAATTATGAAATAAAATAAACAAAACTTCAAAGAATGTGGTAAGTTTTTACCTTTTTAAAAGTAGACCTACTATGGGAAAAAAAATTGGAGGCGGGGTACCAGGGATTGAACTCAGGGGCACTCGACTACTGAGCTACCTAGCCCTATTTCGTATTTTATTAGAGACAGGGTCTCACTGAGTTGCTTAGCACCTTGCTAATTTGCTGAGGCTGGCTTTGAACTCTCGATTCTCCTGCCTCCACCTGCTGAGCCACTGGGATTACAGGTGTGCGCCACAGTGCCCAGCTACTATGAGAAAAATTTAAAACCTCTTTACATGTTCTATAGTATCATATCTTGTTTACTAACTTCTAAGAAATGACTTATATCATTAAAATAAGTTTAATAGTGCTAATCAAACAATCTTTTCACTATTGTAGGACACATTATTTTTCAGGATTAATTATGAAAACATGGTACTTACATTCTGTTTCATGTTTATAGGCTCCTAATGTTAGCTGACGAGATGTTGTTAATAATTGTTGCATCATTGCTGTTGGGTCTTGAAATATCTTAAAGGAAGAATGGAGGGGAAAAAGGCCAATAACTTAAAAATTCTCCAATTTAAAATGTTTTAAAAACTCACATTATAAAATATTACCATTTCATCATAGAACTCTGAAACCACTGTCTTTTTCCCCAGCATTGCATTGGTGTCTGATTGGAACAGCTTTAATAAATGATACAGGGTTACCTGAAAAATAAAAACAGATGTCACATCAGTGCAACAGTTTCATCACCATAAGGAGACACTCATTTCTTTAATTGAATTAGAACTGAAATTAACAAACATCAAATTCAGGATATTGTTTTAATGTAAATTATTGTGTCAAATCACTCAACTCTTCATCTTTTATTTTCCTATTCGGTATCATCATCCATTCACATCTACTTAACACGAATCCTTTTTAAAATTTCTTCTTTTACTTTTTTTTTTTTTGGGGGGGGGTGAGGGCAGTGGGCAATGCTGGGGATCCAACTCAGGACCTCATGCATGCTAGGCAAGTGCTCTAACACTGAACTTAACCTAAGATGAACATTTTAAAGAAGCAAACAGCATCCAGTCAAGCATCTCTGGAGAGTTAACTATATATAAAAATAACACAAAATACAGCTATGGAAATTAAACTGGAAAACCACTGAGAAATGAAGTATTTTATTTACACAAGTGAAATTAGATTAATTCTAACAGTTGTCTGTGAAGATTAGAGTTTATGAATTTATTGTAGAAAAAAAAATTTGATACTTTTGAAAGGAAGAACCAGTACTAAAATGTTCAATGAGAGCAAGATACTTTCCTTGGAGATGTAAGCTTATTATGTAAATGACATAATAAACAAACAAAATGTTGGTCATTGATAATTCACTGTGGCAAGAGCAGCATGCTTTCAAATATTTAAAAGCTTTGCAGGCAATGTGTGATTGTTTAAGCAAAATAGAATGTAGCTGGTAAAATATCAGTGCTCAGCTGAAATTACAGAAACCATTTCAGAGACTGAAGAAATTTCTAAAGGTTATCTAAAATTATTATGAGGGAATGCAGTTCTTTAACATAATCATGAAATAGGAAGGCTGTCCTAATGAAGTCTGAAAATAAATATTTGCATATGAATTTGAACAACCATCTTCAAATCCCCTTAAAGATAAAGCTCAATTTACAGAAATATCAGATTTCTCTGGACATGATTTAGCCAGTGAAGTATCCTTTCTAAAGATGTTTTCCAGGCTGGGGTGGTGGCTCTGTGGCAGAGCGCTTGCCTTGCACATGTGAGGCACTGGGTTCAATCCTCAGCACCACATAAAAACAAACAAAATAAAGATATTGTGTCCATGTATAGCTAAAAAAATATTTAAAAAAAATAAAGATGTTTTCCAGGTTCAAGTTGGTGCATTAAGAATAGTCACGGGGAAGCTGGGGATATAGCTGAGTTGGTAGAGTGCTTGTCTTGCATGAACAAGGTCCTGGGTTCAATCTCTAGCACCACAAAAAATTTTAAAAATTAAAAAAAAAAGGATATTCATGGGAGCTGGGCATGATGGCATATGCCTGTAATCCCATAGGGTTGGGAGGCTGAAAAAGGCCAGTCGAGAGTTCAAAGCCAGCCTCACCAATGGCAAGATGCTAAGCAACTCAGTGAGATCCTGTCTTTAAATAAAATACAAAATAGGGCTGAGGATGTGGCTCAGTGGTTGACTGCTCACTATTGGAAAAAAAAAAAAAATCATGGGGCTGGACATGGTGGTGCATGCCTGTAATCTCAGTAACTCAGGAGATTGAGGAAGGAGCATTTCAAGTTTGAGAACAGATACAGCAACTTAGCAAGACCCTGTTTCAAAACAAAACATAAAAAGGACTGGGGGGTGGAGGCTGGGATTGTGGCTCAGTGGCAGAGCACTTGCCTCACACTATGAGGCACTGGGTTTGATCCTTAGCACCAGATAAGAATAAATAAATAAAATAAAGGTATTGTGTCCATTTACAACCCCCACCCCCCCCAAAAAAGGAGTGGGGACTGGGGATGTAGCTTAGTGGTAGAGTGTTCTTGAATTCAATCCCTAGTGGGGGGGGGGGGAGATAACACATGCAGGGGGTGGAGGAAGAGAGAGAATACTGAAGAATAAGGATGTACACAACTCAGTGATGGAGTGCATGCCTAACACATGCAAGGTCCTAGATTCTATCCCCAGCACTAGGAGTGTGTGTTTAAAAGGAAGAAGGGATATGCACAGAATTCCACTAAGTAACAGAATAGACAGGTAATCTGAAAATGAGAGAGCATGAATTATATGTCATATCTGAAGATAACTTGACAAATTTTGGGGATAAGAATAGAACTGTTACTACTATACAGGATAATAAACCAAAGCAGAGCAAACCCAAAAACTTACTGAAAAATGAAGAAAGTAAACTATCTAGAATTTTATACCACAATAGTCAAGTATGAAGGAGAAATAAAGCTAATTTCTCAAGCATTCTTTCTGAAGAAATTCTTTTAGCAAATGAAAAAACCTGAAGAGAGGGGAAAAGGAAGGATCACCTGGTATCACTAGGAGTTGATAAATATTACCTATAGTTGAGAAATCCAAAATTAAAAGATTAAATATATGAGATATACAGGGTTAATTTCTGGAGGAACTGAAAATAACCACTGTTAAAAAGTGGTTTTCCTGCTGGGTGCCCTGTAGTTCCAGGGGATTACTGTCATACCAACTATTCGAGAGGCTAAAGCAGGTAGATCACTGGGCAACTTAGTAAGACCATGTCTCAAAATAAAATAAGGGCTGAGGATGTGGCTTAGTGGTAAAACACTCACCTACTTGCCTAGTATGCACGAGGCCCTACATTCAATCCCCAGTACTGGAGGGAAAAACTGCGGTTTTCCTGGGGAACGGGTAGGAGATGGAGAAAAGAAGAAGTTATGAATTGAACTGTGTCACCCAAAAAAATAAACTGAAGTTCTAATTCTCAGTACTTGTTGATATGACCATATTTGGGTCTTTGCAGATATAATTAAAATGGCTGGGCGGGTAGAATGCGACTAGAATCCCAGCAATCTGAAAGGCTGAGGAAGAGGCTTGTGAGTTAAAGGCCAATCTGAGCAACATAGCAAGACCCATCTGAAAAACAAGGAAGGAAGGACGGAAGGAAGGAAGGAAGGACGGAAGGAAGGAAGGAGGGGAGGGAAGGGGAGCGGAGGCAGAGGAGAGAGAGGAGAGGGGAGGGGAGGGGAGAGAAGGGGAGGGGACAGAGAAAAAGCAAGCAAGGGCTGGGGCTGTGGCTCAGCGGTGGCCTGGCATGCATGAGGCACTGGGTTCTCAGCACCACATACAAATAAATAAAAGTAAAAGTCCATCAACAACTAAAAACAAAAAAAAAGCAAGTGAGCAAGTGAGCGAGCAGACATTAGGATGGACTCTAATCCAGTATAACTGGTGTCATTATAAGAGGAGATGAGATAGAGACAGGGAGAGAGATAAGGCCATGTGAAAATGGAAGTAAAGTTTGAAGTTATGTTGCTGAAAGCCAAGAACACCTGGGATTACCAAAAGCTGGAAAGGGCAAGGAAAGACCCTTTCCTAGAGGCTTTGGAAAGAACAAGGCCAATACCTTGATTTCAGACTTCTAGCAGCCAGAACTGTGAGAATGAATTTCTACTGTTTTAAGCAACCCAGGTTGTAGTACTAGGAAACTAATTCAGGACTAATTTGCACTTCTTATTTTAAAAATCTTTTAAAACATTTGACTTTTATAAAAATAAAAAAAAGTTTTAAAATTAGACCATTAAACTGTCCTCTAAATTCACTATTCCGACTTCCCAAGGCATTAATGCAGATACAGGCAATAACAAATCTGAACTAACTTTGAGTGGTATTAGACAATTCTTAGAGCAATAAAACTGTCTTACCTACCTAGAAATTCCAATTTCCAGAAATGAAAACCCAATTTTATCATTCTGCTTTCAGATACAACTTTTTTTTTTTTTTAAAGTAGTGACTTAACCTTTAATAGGTTACTAGAAAACAGAAGTAAATCAGAAATCACTTAAGCCTGCTACTGAAAAAGTACAATGGTTTCATTATACTTAAAGTACACTAAAATACTTTTTAGGGAATGAGATATAGCCTAGTAGACCTGTAATATTTTTTAGAGAATGAGATACAGTCTAGTAGATCTGTATGGGAACCTAGGCAACAGATGAGTCAATATGGAAGTACAATAGATATTACTTTACCCTTCTAAGAGTGACTCAGAGCTGTCTTATAAAAAGAAGTTATGAGATAAAAAATAATTTCTTTCATAGATATATTTTCCAATTGGGGTGCAGTACAACAAATTAGGAAGCAGAGGTAAGCAACATTTTCAAAATAAAAATGAAAATAGAGCAATCTTACAAAGTTAAAAATGATATTGTGCTACATATGATAAACCCAAGGCCAATATTATATTGAATGGAGAAAAACTGAAAACATTTCCTCTAAAAACAGGAACAAGACAAGGATGCTCACTCTCATCACTCCTATTTAACGTAGCCCTTGAAACTCCAGCCAGAGCAAATAGGCAAGAGAAGGAAATTAAAGGGATACAAATAAGAGCTCAAATTATCTACTTGCTGATGACATGATCCTATATTTAGGAGATGCCTCCCAGCAGCCCCAAAACTCCACTAGAAGACTTTTAGAGCTCATAAACGAAGTCAGCAAGGTAGGAGGATACAAGATCAATACTCATAGATCAATTGTGTTTCTATACTCCAAGGTAAATCTATCTGCTGAAAAAGAAATTAGGAAAACTATTCCATTCACAATAATCTCAAAAAAATAAAATGCTTGATAATAATCTAACAAAAGAGGTGAAGGACCTTTACAATAAAAACTATAGAACACTAAAGAAAGAAATTGAAGATCATAGAAGTTGGAAAGATTTCCCATGTTCCTTGACAGGCAGAATTAATAGTGTCAAAATGGCCATATTACCAAAAGTGCTAATACAGATTCAAAGCATCTCCATCAAAACACCAATGAGTACAGAAGTAGAAAAAGTAGTGCTGAAATTCATTTGGAAAAACAAGAGACCCAGAATAGCCAAAGCAATTCTTAGGAAAATGAAGTTGGAGACATCACGATACCAGGCTTCAAACTACACTACAGAACTACAGTAACAAAAACATCATGGTACTGGCACCAAAACAGACATGAAGATCAATGTAATAAAAGATACAGAGACAAACTCATATAAGTACAATTACCTAATAATAGACAAAGTTGACAAAAACATATGTTGGAGAAAAGATATAGCCTCTTAAACAAATGGTACTGGGAAAACTAGAAACCCATTCATAGGAAGTATGAAATCTAAAACCCCTTGCACAAAAGATAACTTAAAGTGGATTAAAAACCTGGGAATGAGGTTGGGGATGTGGCTCAAGCGGTAATGTGCTCGCCTGGCATGCATGGGGCGCTGGGTTCGATCCTCAGCACCTCATAAAAATAAAATAAAGATGTTGTGTCCACTGAAAACTGAAAAATAAATATTAAAAAATTCTCTCTCTTAAAAACAAAACAAAACCAAAAAAAAAAAAAAAACAACCCCAAAAAAACCTGGGAATGAGACTAGAAACACGGCAACTGCTAAAAGAAAACGTAGACCTAACACTCCAGCATTTTGGCATAGGAACCAACCTCCTTACCAAGACTCCTAAAGAACAAGAAATATCTCAGCACCACATAAAAATAAAGGCATTGTGTTGTGTCCACCTACAAAAAAGATTCACTCATTTAATCGTTCTCTCTCTCTTTAAAAAAAAACAAGAAATAAAATTTTAAAAATCAATGAAGTAGATGATATCAAATTAGAAAGCTTCTGCATAGCAAAGTAAACAAGAACATGAAGATACAGCCTACTGAATGGGAGATCTATACCACTTGCTCCTCAGGGCATTAATTACAGAACATACAAAGAACTCAAAAAAACTTCACACACACACACACACACACACACACGCCAAAACACAAACTCTAATAACTCAATCAGTAAATGGGCAAAAGAACTAAACAGACACTTCTCAAATGAAGAAACACAAATGATCAACAAATATTAAAAAAATTATTCAACATCTCTAGCAATTAGGGAAATGCAAATCAAAACTACAGTGAGATTTCATCTCATTCTAGTCAGGTGGCAATAATCACGAATACAGTTGGGTATGGTGATGCACGCTTGTAATCACAATAACTCAGGAAACTAAGGGAGGAGGACTGCAAGTTCAATTAGTGGGACCCTAAGCAATTTAGTGAAACCCTGTCTCAAAACAAAAAATAAAAAAGCTGGGGATGTGGCTCAATGGTAAAACCTTCCTGGGTAATATCTGCAACACCCTCTTCCCCCCCAAAAAAGATTACAAATAAATAATACATGTTGGTGAGGATATAGAGAAAAAGATACACTCATACATTTGTTGGTGGGACTGCAAATTAGTGCAATTGCTCTGGAAAGCAGTATGGAAATTACTCAAAAAACTAGGGATGGAACCAACATATGACTCAGTTATCCCACTCAGTATATATCCAAAAGATTTAAAATGAGCATACTACTGTGATGCTGTCACATCAATATTTATAGCAGCACAATTCACAATAGCCAAATTATGGAAACAACCTAGGTTCCCTTCAACGAATGAATAAAGAAAGAAAATGTGGCATTTATACACAACAGAGTATTGCTCAGTCATAAAGAAGAATGGAATTATGGCATTTGTGGGTAGTAAATGGATGCAACTGAAGACTATCATGCCAAGTGAAATAAGCTAGTCCAAAAAAGTCAAAGGACGGGGCTGAGGTTGTGGCTCAATGGTAGAGTGCTTGCCTAGCATGTGTGAGGCCCTGGGTTTGATCCTCAGCACCACATAAAAATAAATAAATAAGTCAAAGGTTGAGTGTGTTCACAAATATGCAGAAGCTAATCCCAGCAACTCAGGAGGCTGAGACAGGAGGATCATGGGTTCAAAGCCAGCCTCAGCAATGGTGAGGTGCTTAGCAACTCAGTGAGACCCTGTCTCTAAATAAAATACAAAATACGGCTGGGGATGTGGCTCAGTGGTCAAGTGCCCCTGAGTTCAATCCCTAGTACCCCAAAAAAAAAAGAACCTGGATACTCATTTCAGACAGCATATTAATTTAAATTGTTTACTACCAATAACTGGATGATACTAGAAATTTTATTTTTTTTGATACTCATGATTTTTAAATGTTTTTTTCCCTTTTAGCAATCATTTGATTTCCATTTCTTTCTTTCTAACATGTTTATATTATATCCCTTCTTTCTATATTTGAAGGGGAAAAAAAGCATTTCAAAAAGCATTCCACTTTAAAAATAGAAAACCATAACTCATGTTAAGATATACCACACCACAGGTTTATATAAAATACATGTGAATGAACATTAGCTATTCATTAAGTATTATGACATTTTCACATTTACCAAAAAATCTATTTTCTATTTGTAAAGATTAGCATTACTCACAGGTCTTTCATTAGGGTCAATGAAAAATATTTTGATGATTATTTCGAATTCACCCCATCCAGTTTCAGTAATTTCGTATGGAGGCTTAGTAACAACTGAAGAGAGGAGGGGAAAATAAAACAATTATAAATTACTAATTTAGTTTCCTAGATCCTTTTAACTTTGCATGTTATGAATCAAAAGATTATACTATACCTCTTAAAGGGTTGCCATAGCTCTCATGTAATTTAAACTGGATTTTCTTTACATATGCTGACATATCCTGAAATAGAGAGAAATTAATTAGTTCTATCATCTACATATGAAAACTAGAATGGAAATACATTTAGCATATGGACCTAACTTTATAAAACCTACCTTCCCTGAAATTTTATGAAATCCAATTTTAAAAAATCAATTATATTTGGAGGTGGGGGTTTGCCTCCCCCCTTTTTTTGGCTGAATTCTTTCATATTCATAAAGAAATATACATGTCCTTCTTTATGCATTTAATAATATTACCAGAAATAAAGATAATATAAAGCAACTTAAACTGATGGATATAAAACTTCCTTTTTTTCCATTATATTTTGAATCACAGAAGCATACTTATTATTATTAGTACAAGTATATAATAGGGCTTCTTTGGTAAAGTGGCTTTTTAAAAATATAATTCAAAATCAAGTGTGATGATTCATGCCTGTAATTCCAGTAACTCAGAAGGCTAAGGCAGGATGATTGCAAGTTTGAGGCCATCCTGGGCAACTTAGTGAAACCCTGTCTTAAAATAAAAAAGGTCTAGGTAGACTGCTTGCCTAGTATGTGTGAGGGCCTGGGTTCAATCCACAATACTGGGGGGAAAAAAACCTTATAGAAAAAGAAAAATGCAAACCTTTTTGTTTTCAGTAATGTTTTATATACTTATATCTACATATATTTTTAAAATGAAATTGGGATTATACTGTAATAATCTTAATACTTTGTCACTTGTTATGGTGTAGGGATATTTTTCTGATGCAGATTTTCATAAGCACCTTTGGAGCCAGTTTTGGGAATACTTGATTTCATTTCTTCTATAAATACCTGAGTGACTACCAATATTGCTGTACCAGATGCTAATTATACAATGTTTAATAAAACAAGGCCTTTTCTAGGCACAATGGTGCACACCTATAATCCCAGTGGCTCGGAAGGCTGAGTCAGGAGGATCAAGAGTTCAAAGCCAGCCTCAGCAAAAGTGAGGCACTAAGTAACGCAGTGAGACCTTGTCTCTAAATGAAATACAAAAAAAAACTAGGGCCTTTTCTTCAGGCATGAGACATTCACTGTGAAATAGGGGACAGATGATAAAATGCACATTAAACATAACATGTTAGGAGGGCATTAGGTACAAGTTCATGGGGATGGGGGGACACCTAATTTAGTCTTTGGAGGACCAGCAAATAGTTCCAAAGAAAACAATACTTGAACCAAGACTTTAAGGAACAGAATGAGTGGTTAAAAAAATGCTTGAAGACATTCAAGAGTATTCCTTTGATAACAGTATTGTAGAATGGAAGATATAAGGAAATGAGGCATAGACAGAAATAAGGCTGCAGAGATAGGTTAGAAAGTCACTTAGGGTTGTTTTTTAAAATCACGGCTTCACTGAAATATGATTCACATACCATATAATTTGCCTTTGTATAGTACACAGTGCAGTGGTTTTTAGTATATTCTGATTTGTACAATCATCATCACAATGTTTTAGAACATTTTTTAAAATATTTATTTTTTGGTTTTAGTTAGACACAATACCTTTATTTATTTTTATGTAATGCTGAGGATCGAACCCAGGGCCCCACACTTGCTAGGTGAGTGCTCTACCACTGAGCCACAACCCCAGCCCAGAACATTTTTTTTTTTTAACACGCAAAAAGAAACCCCATACTGTCCTCATTCCCAACTTCCTTTTTATTCCCACCAACTTGGCAACCACTAATCTATTTTCTGCATCTATAAATTTGCCTATTCTGTATATTTCATGTAAGTGAAATATACAAAATATACAATATATAACACTGTATCGTCTTCTTTCACTTAGCATAATGCTTCCAATTTTCATCCATGGGCTGGCATTTATCGGTACTTTATTTTATTGCCTAATAATATTCTATTCATGGATAAAGAAAATGTTTTCTACACACACACACACACACACACACACAAAATGGGGTTTTACTCAGTTATAAAAAAGAAAAAAATTATGTCTTTTGCAGGAAAATGGAGAGAACTTGAAAGTTATGTAAAGTGAAATAAGCTAGACTAAGAAGGTCAGGGGTTATATGTTCTCTCTCTTATGTAGAAGCTAGAGAGAGGGAAAAAAAGGAGGAGTGGGGAGTGGTGGATCTCATGAAAATAGAAAGAAGACCAGTAGAATAGAGGAAGGGGGCCAGAGGGAGGAAGGGAAGGAAAGGGAAGTTATCAAGGAATGAAACTGACCAAATTATGTTATGTGCATATATAAATATGTCACAATGATTCCTACTATTTTGTATAATTATAATGTACAATTAAAAGTTAACTTAAAATCCCATTAAATGGACATACAATATGTTACTTATCCATTTATCAGCTGACAGATGTTTGGATTGATTCCATTTGGGCTATTATGAATAATGCTACTACATTCATATAAACAAGTTGAATAATTTGTTCTTTCAATAAATATCTAGCTGTTCTCGAAGAAGTGCAGATTTAGAAGCAAAACAAAATTACCAGTGACCAGACTACATTCTTTGATTGTTTTATTACAACATTATCACTTTAAGTATTAACTGCTATTCCTGAAATAGTTGCTTAAATACTATGTTAACTTAAGATGTGATGTTTGGAAGGTCTATTTTTACTATTTATAGCAGGACAATTCTTGTTACCTTAATTTTAATTAGAAAACATTTTTAGAAAATAATCTACTAATTACATGAAGATGACAGTTCTTACTTCATTCTTTCAATTTTGAGGGGAGGGTAACATTTTTATAATGGACCAGTTTTCTGGCAGAAAGTTACTATAAAAGAATTTTACAATTTATCTTCAAACAAAACAAACTGTAGCTTCAAAGAAAGTTACACTGAAAACAAGTGCCTACCTCATTTCTATACGGTTTTACATATACTGTCCATTGATGGGTGTGCCCATCTTCTTCTCTTTTCTTCCCAAAATATCGAGCAACATTACCATAAACTATTGGTTTAACAATAGTAACCCCCTAAAAGAAAAGTAATTTAAAAATCAGTAAATATTGTACCATTACTTAAATAGAATGAGAGCTCTGAAAACTTGTCTCAATGAATGACAATCTCACAATATAGCTTAGTTACAACAGGATTTTTCTCAAATCAATTTCAGACATTCTCATTTCATATTAACACAAATAACTGAATACAAGATTAATTACCATGTTCTCTCTTTGAAAATGTTTTTATTTAAATCACCAGGTAAGGCAGTTGAGAGTTTTAGTAAGAGAAAAGCAAAAGGCCTTTTCTTTACAAACCTGAAAGCTAAGCATCTGAATAAAAACTGTAAATTAACTGGCATCATTTGATGGTAATGGCCTTACTAATTAGCTTATCGCAGTGTTTACCAAAGCACAGAATAAAAATCAAAGGCAGTATGTATGAATATTTTTGCTATGAGAAAATATATTTCATTTTATTATTTATGGATTTACTTTAAAATGTTAGAAAAAATGTTACTAGAACTTTAAATCCACAATTTCAAAATGCTTAGGAAGATTCTTTTAAAAATTGAATTGCTTTTAATATAAATGTTACAATCAATATCATAACTGGATTCAGATATAGCAAAAATGGTAAAGTGGCACTTGGAAAAACAAAGGTTGGTAAACACTGGCCAATGGCATGTTTGCTACATTTGTACTCAGTTCTGTAATGTAAATACATTTCCTGCCACATTCGATTAGCATAATGGCAATGTGTTCAGATTATGATGGAAAAGAGATTAAAAATTTCAAGCGAAGAGGAAATATTTAGTGTAGTACATGACTCTGGAGACCAAATATTCAACAGAAGGAATGTACCTGAAGGACAAAAAGCAAGACATACTGTATGTGAAAAGTGCTATTCCAATGTAATCAACAATAATCAATAAGAAATAAGAAAAAGTGAATACAGTGGAGAATTTCAAGTTCAGGCTGAATAGTCAACAAAATCTAATACCTATAAATCTAAACTTAGTGCAGGTAGAGTATGGTGGTACTCACCTGTACTCCTAGCTACTAGGGAGGCTGAGGCAGGAAGATCCCAAGTTTTGAGGCCAGCCTGGGCAACTTAGTGAGACCCTTTCTCAAAAATTAAAAAGGACTGGGGATGTAGCTCAGTTGTAGAGTGCCTCTGGGTTTATTCCCCAGTACAAAAAAAAAAAAAAAAGTTCAGAAGAAGCCAAGCAGCTTGTATGCAAACAAATAATTATAGTAAGCGCTACCAATGAGTTTTGTAGCAACCATAGATGGGGCCACAGGTTCAAGGTTTGACCAAATGAGTGCAAGGGTGTTGACCTGGTGAGTATACAACAGATCCCACAGCTGCAAGTTATTCACTAGGAATTTGCAGAGTTCATTAAAAACAAAAAGGAACCACTTATCAATAGATTTACTACCTGGATGCAAGTTATCTAAATTGGAAAAAGATGCCTAAAAGAGTAAAGAGAAAATCAGCAAGGAGAAATAGATCACTAATTTGCATCTTGACATGACTATTTTTAGGTGAAAATCACTTGAGGGCTACAGGTTTAATTTCAGGTTGTCCTGGACTGAAACTCTTAGAATTTAACATGATATAAGTAAATGTCTTGCTCAAAATCTAATGTTTTAACCCTTAGACCCTTTGTTTTGTAGTAGTTTCCTATCAATCCAAAACCCTGCCCTAAAGCTTTGGCAAAATGTATAAATTATGTCTCTGCTACTATGAATTTTTACCTGGCATCTCTTTTTATGAAATTTCAGTGCTTTTGGAATTTTCAAAGGGTTGCATTTTACAAGTAATATTAAAACAGATAGTTGTATACATACCATAATTGAAATTTTTTTAATATAAAAATAATGACACAGATAAGGACTCTTAAGAAAATCTAAGTAGACAGATGCAAAAGTGGATGCTTTCTTTGAAAGGAAAAATTCCTTCCTGTGATAAATTAAGAATCAGAAGAGTAAACCCAGGTGTTTTATTAGAAACCAGCTGACCCTGCCTTAAAAACTAACATGATGGTGGATGTATAAAAGCGAGGGGAGTAAGTGTCATAATGTCCAACCTTATGTTAGGCTCTATGATAATGTTCATTAAAAACAAAAGATGACATTTACTAAAAGTTCCCCTTGTTCCAGGCACAGTATCACGGTCTTTGTATGTCTTGACATCGTGGCCATAGCTATGGAGCTCGGTGATTGCCAGAACTCTGGTAAATCTATGTCCAGGTGTCTCAGATCTCCTATTTGTAAATACTATGGAGATTCTTCCAGCCCAGGATTTGCAAATTCTGTGAGCTAAGTGCTCACAGAATATGCTACCTTTATCATACTCACAATCGGGAGGGCGACGCCCTCACTTTACCGAAGACCTGGGCAGACAGCTTCTGTGCAGCATACCAGGAATTCCCAGCCCTCAGCGTGACCTGTTTCCTCAGCCGCCAGGTTCAGCATTTCCCAAGTCACCCCCAACAAGATTTACTTTTTGGCGGGGATGAAAGGGTGGCGGTGACGCAGGGAGGTTGAGCCAATGAACATCCAACTTTTCGCTCAGAGGTTTTGACACGCTCTCAGCCTTGAGTACATGGTTCAAGACCGAGTAGGGAAGGCGCTAAAGGGAACCAAGCGGTCCTTCCCGCCAGGTGCAGGAAGGAGCCGGGGCGGGAGAGCCCCCCACGGGAGAGACGCTGGCTGCATACTGACCTTCACTCTCCCGCCGGAGTCAGGCCCAAATTCGGCCATTCTCTTGAACATATTGTCCCACGGAAGAAGCCGATGCCGCCAGGGAAAGAGACCGGGGCCGGCGGGGTCGCCGCTCCCCTCAAAGGCCCCGCTCCTCCCGCGCGGGCCGGTGTAGGGGTCCTGACAGAAGGAGAGCAAGTCACCGAGACTTGCGGCACTGAATAACAGCCGGCTCCTCCACTCGGGTAGCGTAGGGGTAGGCCATTCAGCCCCGCGCTGTTGGAAATCGGAGCGGAAGGAGGAGCGGCTACCACGCCGTGCGCAGGCGCGATGGGCTCGCGCTCACGCCGCGCACACTGCGCACGCGTCTGGCTGCTGCCATAACAACTGGAGAGGCTATGTCCGGAAGTTCTGGAGAGAACTAGGAAACGGAAGGAAGGAAATAATAAATGATTTCAGAAAGTTTTCCCTAACTTAAGGGCAGGGGTTTATACACTGAAAGACTATATCAGGCACCCAGCACAAAAGTGATCCACGCCAAGACATATCACGGTGAACTTTTAGAGCATGGGGCTAAAGAGAAGATACCACACACTTCAAGGTTATAAGGAAATCAGGATAGCATCAATGGTACAATGTCAACATTGGAACTTAGGGAGCAAGTAAAGCACTACTCAATATTCTCAAGGAAAATCACCACCAATTTAGTCTCCAATACCTAGCCAATCATCAACCAAGGGCATGCATAGAATGAAAGTTTCAGACATGCTAAATCTCAAAAAAATCTCATGTACCCTTTCTCAGAATGGTCCTGGAGATGTGACACACCAAAATGAGGGAACATACCACGAAGGAGAAACTTACATAGCAACCAGTCCATGTGAGATTCAGTTAGAAGCCTTTGGGATATACTGCTTCAGAAGAATGGAATAGAAAACATTTCAGCCATCTCTGAAGCTTCAAGAGGAAATTTAAATAAGTTAGACCTGGAGTTTGGGAGCTGAATGCGTGACAGATACACTAGCAGAACTGAGAAGCTGCTATGAAGTTCCCCGAGGACTCCCAGGGAAACTCAACTGACTGTTGACAATAGATAAGAACAAAAGTCAGTTTGACTTGCTTCATCTTAAACACTTAGCAAAGACAGTTAAAGCCAAAGCACAGTTGTTCCTGGACATTTTAAATGATAATAATAATTAAATGTAACTTCCAAAAATAAGTAAACTGGAGGCTACAAAAGAGATTCTCAGACAGGAATGTCTGATAACTATTAAAAGGAACTGCCAGAGTAGTTTTTAGTTTAAGGCCCACAGATATTCCTAACCTACACAGGTAGGTTTGGTGTTTGCTAGTATGGTTATCCAGCCCTAAGTAGCAGAATTAAAGGTTTCTCTATTAGATACAGGTCATACTAATAAAAGGATTTCGCAAGATCAGATGACATTAAATTATTAGACTATATCTTAAAGGAAAAGGACATCTGTAAACCTAAATGTTAGTTGTTGTGTTTACATCCCTGACATTTCTGGCAAGGTGACAAAGGTCCTTAAAGATTTACATGCTCAGATAGAAGCCATGTCCTCAGCAACTTTGTCGTGGAAACAATATCTTAGCTCCTGGTTCTTGGTACCTCCTGGTGAAAAACATTGTTATTCTCTGTCTTGGCCATTATACTCATTGGCATATTCCTGTGCTGTGACATTTATTGCTGCATCAATATGGTTCCAGTAAATTAATGAATTCTTGTTTCTCTTATAGACCACCTATCCCTCAAATGGCCCTCCAGCCTAATACTTCTCAATTGGACTTTTATCATGGACCACTCGATAGACCCGATTATTAAAGGGGGACTCCAAACTGCTTGCCCCACACCGTCCCTTTTCAGCCTGAAGAAGCCGGAAAGATCCTCTTTGCCCCCCTTCCTTATCAGCAGTAAGGAGTTCCCAAATTAGAGGGGGGAATAAAGCCAGATTTTAAGTTAGGTAGTCAGTGTAGTTAGATAAATCGGGGTCTAATACCGAGTGGAATCTAAAACGGAGGCCATGCTGAAAATGATTCCAGGGAACGCAAAACAACTCATAAAATGTGAAACCCTTCAATAATCGTGATGCATTACTTTTAAGATTAAAAGTAGTCAGAAAAAGGAGTGGGGAATGTAAGGGTAAAAGAAATTGAAGTTAAAGCGTAAAAGTTAAAGGGTAAAAGAAAACTAAGCAGATTTAAGAATTATCCAGTTAGTAGCTTTAGGGAAAACAAACTTGCATTTAGGGCTACCTAAGTACTGAGAATTGACTTAATAAAAATACAAATAAAAAAATTACATTTGGAAGGATGGACTTTGGGGAAGGGTGCCATGTGTGATAAGGATAAGAAGGAAGGAAATAGAATTTAAACTTCTGTCCTGGGAAATCAGTATTCTAAAATGGAAATTCAAGAAAAAGCAATATAAGGTCAACATTTTAAAGCATAGAAATAACTGAAAAACGAATTACTGATTATAATTTTTAATAATTCCATTTAGCAACTTTTAAAACAATGTTTTAAAAATTATTCTACTAAATAGAAATGCAACAAATATGCTGAGGGCTTAATTATAATTAGTGTCATATAAAGAATTCAGTTGTGGGGCTGGGGTTGTGGCTTTATAGAGGTACAGCCTTTGCCTAGCATGCGTGAGGCACTGGGTTTGATGCTCAGCACCACATTTAAAAAAAAAAAATGAAATAAAGGTATTGTATCAATCTACAACTAAAAAATAAATGTTTAACAAAAAGAATTCAGTTGTGCTATTTCATATCACATAACAACACAGGAATTGAATTTCTTTTGAAAATGATCAAACATTGATATATTTAATAATTTGTTTAGCAAACTTTTTTATATCTTTATTTATTTGTTTATTTATATGGTGCTGAGAATTGAACGCAGTGGCTCACATGTGCTAGGGAAGTGCTCTACCCCTGAGTTACAACTGCAGCCCCATTGATATTTTAATTCTGCTCTCTACATAGGAGTAGAATATTGACTTGTGAGTTTAATTATATGATAAATAATTGACATATTTATCAAAAATACTAAAACAAAACCTCCCACAACCATTGTTTTTCCTCTTCACTCAATTTTTGTAATCTCTGTTTCTTCAGGCAGCCTGACACTTCTTGGATATGTGCTGTTTCTCAGCTGTCACTTTCTACTTTGATGAATTTTTTGTTACTGTTGTTCTTCACCTATCTTTGAGTATCCTGATATGATGAAGCTCATATTCTTCTTAACTTTATTGATTTATGGGGTGCTGAGGATTGAATCCAGTGCCTCACATGTGCTAGGGCAAGCGCTCTACCACTCTTTTTTTTTTTTTTTTTTTGTACTGGGGATTGAACTCAGGGGCACTCAATCACTGAACCATACCCCCAGCTCTATTTTTGTATATTATTTAGAAACAGGGTCTCACCGAGTTGCTTAGTGCCTCACTTTTGCTGAGGCTAGCTTTGAATTCAAGATCCTCCTGCCTTAGGCTCCTAAACCACTGGGATTACAGGATTGTGCCATAGCGCCTAGCTACACAGCTCAGATTCTTTATGAGATCATGCACATCAGTATGGTCCAAGAATCAAAGTCTAAGGCTGTACCTGTGTAGAGGTCTTCTGCTGCCTCCCCATGGTTGGACTATACACTACATTACATATATGAGGTATGATTTGGAAACCCATAAGCTGTTATATTGGAATCATGTGGGTTTGAAGAGTAAGAAAAATCTTAGAATGCTCAAAATAGAGGGATATACTAAATAATCAACAACAGATTCATTCCATTTTTTAAAAAAAATTAGCTTTTTTTTTTTTTTTTTTAGCATGTACTATGTTCAAGGCACTGTTCTAGGTCTTTGGGATATGGAATGAACAAAAGTAAAAAATTTTCTGCTCTCCTTCCTATCAGAACAGTGATTCAGTATAGTTTGTCACAAGTGTAATATGGATAAGAGGACATCCAGGTGTTGGGGAGGGAACAGTTCCCTGAGGGGTATCAGAACCGGGTGGAAGGCAAGTATTCTAAGTGAACATCATCAATAACAGGACAAATCCAAACTACCTAAATGGATGCAATGAAAAGAACACTGTTTCTGTAGCATTCTTAATCTAATCCAGAGAATATCAGAAAAACCCTTAGGGACATGCTACAATATAACTTCTCTGTGGTGTTCAAAAGTGTCAAGGACATTGAAGGACATGGAGAATAGGCCCCCAGGGCACTTCCCTATCTACAGCTGTTCCCCTACCTGTTTTCCTTCAGTGTGTGGGGAGCTATCTGTGGTAAATTGGAGCTTTTGTCATTTAGAAGCCCAGTCCTCAGCTAGAGCTAAGGCAGGGAGGGAAATTGAAGAATTCACACCTGGCTCCCACCTAGCTGAACCACTGTCCCCTGTACAAACAAATAGAAAAAATAGACCCCAGGGAACTTCCCCACTTGTCCTCCTGTTCCACCCTAAATGAGTTTGACCAACTCCTCCCAGGACCTGGTTCTGCTAAATCCTATAAAACTCAGACCCTTCTTACAGCCTATCACCATTTTTCCCTTGAAAATGTGCCCCTCTTTTGCTTAATAAAGCATCACTGATCTTGTAGTGGCACCCCCTCCTCCCCAGAAAAATCTTAATCTTCTCCAGAGACCCTCACCATAACTGTTCTTAGACTATCAGCAAGAATTTCAGGCAGGAAGAGTGTTTACAGAAGCAGACAATAAGGGAGACTAACTCAAGGCCTTTAGTGCAGCCTGGAGCCTTCACAAAGGCGTTTGCATTTCAAAGGACAGTAGTTGGATCCTAGGGAAAGTCCTTTACAATCCAAAAGATAAAAGTAAACAATACAAATTAGGTTCCTTGGAAACCAGCTGGCAGAAAAGGGGAGGGGAATCTGTCCCTTTCCTAGGCACTGAGAGTGTCCTTGATTTATTTTCCAGGCCTGAGTTGATTGCCCAAAATAGTAGAAAAAAAAAAAACTACTTTTATTAGATTTCTGCAGATTGTGAGCCTCTGAACTCCTCCTCCCCCTACACACTGGGTACAAAGTTCTAAACATTTCTTAATTCAGGGTTCAGAGGGACAAATTGATTTAGGCAAAAGCTCCCTCTGTGAAGCCAGATTTACAGATAGGTAGTTAGTGAGGTTAGGTAAATCGGGTCTAATATCAAGAATGAAGGCCATATTGAGAATGGAGTTCAGGAAAAGGGGATTTAAAAATGTCCCCAAGGCCCAGAGCCCATCCCAAGGAAATGTTAATGAAGCAGCTCCCAGCAAACACAGAGATGCTAATCCAAAAGTCCTTCCTGCGGGGATTACTCCTTTGGCCCACCTGACCCCACACTTTGGGGCTTCCCCACCTACATTCCCTCACTGCAAGATAACAGAACTAAGGACAGAAATGCGACAGGAATGCAGGAAAGCTGAGAGAAGACTAGCTATAAAAGAGGGAAGACCTCTCTCTTCCATGGATTCCACTTCTTGGGTCCCCTTTTTCCTCCAGGGAGAAGTCTTTTCTACTGTCCTTTAATAAAGCTTTTACTTTCCACTCTAAACTTGCCTCGGCGTGCTTCTTTGGTGTTATACTTCAGCATGTGGGGGGCGGGGGGGGGGAAGTAAGGACTCACAGGTAAACAGCAGTAACATCTGGACCTGGCTGCAGCTGATAAACCTGCTTCCTGCTAATTCCTCAGTGTCCAGCTTTCCTACAACAATCTGTCAAGGTCTGTCTCATTTGCTTTCAGACATAAAAGTCAAGAAAAAAATGACAACTGAAAAACTTATGCAGATTTTTACCTTAGGCCAAAGTAATGCCATGACAAAAAAAACCATGACAACCAAATATAACCGATGATTCTCAATTAGATCTTATTGTTTTTAAGTACTTTATTGGGAGAGTAAAGGGCTTTTGCTTCTGTCACTATTTTACTGAAGCTGTGGGACAAAAGTCAGTGAATTTAAATAATAAATAATAGGGTCGATTGTTGGGACCTGATTTGGGTCTGCGAGGATGTGGGTTACCTCTGGAAGACTGAAATGCTAATACCTCCAGAGCACTTCCCCCTCCTCCTCAACCCGTTACCAAGGTAACCTGCTTACAGGGAAATATTCCTCTCAAAGGGTTGTTAATGAAGCACCTCCTGGGTGTCCACTTTGGGTAGACCCTGAGAGGCATCCCTGGAGGGCTTCCTTCTCACCTTTTGGCTCATCTCCTGGCCACTGGTCACTATGCAAGATGGGGAGAGGAGCAAGGCAAGGGGAAGGAGGGCATGAGAATAAAGGAATTCTAAAATGTAGAAAAGGGTCAAGACACTCCCACTTCTTTGGATTTTCAGCTCTGGGAACCCTTCTCGTGGAAAAGTCGGTTTCTGTTGTATCCTTTAAATAAAACTGTTTTCTTTGCTTGCCTATGTTGCTTGCCTATGTGTTTCTCGGGCAATCTTCACATCTGGGGAAACAGAACTCTGCCCTGATTGATTCTCATCATCTGTGGTTTCACTACTATAAAGTGCCTTTATTGGTGAAATAAAATGGGATCTAATTATTAGAGTAGTATTGTATTAGTGTTAATTTCCTAATAAGGCTGGTTATTTTGAGGTTATGTAGGAGAAAGTTTTAGGTCCTTAGGCCAAAGTAATGCCATTTTGAAAATCAGCACTTGCCCACCCAGGCATGACCTTCCCGTTAGGCCTGCCCCTAGTGAGTCCTTAACTACCAAAACCACAACAAAGAAACCAACTAATAATCATAGCACTAGATGGGCTATTTTTAAACTACTTCATTGTACATGACTATATAGTTAAGAAGTTTTTCCAGCAGGTTGCTGAGTCTTGCAGAAAGGCAGGTTGGCAGATATTCTCTGTCAATAAACCTTTTCTTGACTCAGAGGTGTGCCTCTCGAGGATATTTGCACCAGCTACCCTAACAGAAAGTCTTTGTAGAACTTACACACTGAAGTATTTAGGGCCATTGGGTATAATATTGGCATCTCAGTCCCAAATGCCTTTTTTGATGGGAGAGGGCAGGGAGAACTGGGGATTGAACTCAAGGGTGCTCAAACACTGAGTCACATTCCCAGCTCTATTTTGTATTTTATTTAGAGACAGGATCTCACTGAGTTGCTTAGTGCCTTGCTGTTGCTGAGGCTGGCTTTGAACCCTCAATCCTATCTCAGCCTCCGGGGTCACTGATATTACAGGTGTCCACCACTGCCTCCATCTCAACTGTGGTGTTTGAGTAACATTCATTTTGATCGAACTGTTTTGTGTGCTTTAACTATTTTGTATTGATTTTTTTTACTTAAATATTTTATGTACACTTTTCCACAAAACAGACACGATGCATGTATCTGTCATCTTAAATGGTTTATAGCATGATGACATGTTGCTCATCAGTTTCCTTCTCTGTTTTTTGTTAACCTGTAAGTCCTATATTGGTAGAAATCAATGTTTTGCTGTCATAAATAAGATTCATGTGAACTTTCCCAACTCTCATAATGCCTCGTCTCCCATTTCCATGTTAGAGGTCATTTGTAAAGCAATAGGCCTTACTCAAACCTCAAACCCATAAAGGGGAAATTGTAACTAAGCACAGTCAATTTGATAACCAAGTTGGATAATAAATGACTAATGAGCAGAGGCATGTACAGTGCAGGTTCACTGGACAAAGGGATGATTCATGTCCCAGGAAGGACAGAGCAGACCTGTGGGAGATTTCATCACTCTACTCCATATGGCCTGCAACCAAAACTTATCAATTGTTTACTTCTGGAACTTTCCCCTTAATATTTTTAGCTCACAGATGACCATGGATAACTGAAACAATGGAGAGTGAATTACTGGACAATGGGGGACTACTGTATATGAATAAGGAAAATTTGTAGTGTATCAAATGTTTATTGGTTTGAACACTGGAGTACTCACAATTTACAAATGAAATAGCAGGGAAAGAGTGGGAAAGAGGAACTGAGAAGGAGCAACCTGTGAAGTGGGATGTAAGCAAGAAGGTGAGAGAGAAAAAGCTTCTGGTGATATGTGTTGGGTAAGTGTCTGAGGACTAGTATTTTAGGAGAGCCACCAAGATGGTGAAGGTCTGGGTGGACTGTGATGTTCAGTTCTCTGTTATGTGTCCCTGGAGGTTACACAGTCCTTTGAGGGAGACCTACAAAGCCTATGCTGGTAACTAACAGCTGGGAAGGGAAGGGAATAATTTTGAACCCAGGAGTCTATTCTGCCCTAGGAAGGAGTCCCTGAGGGCCACCGTGGCCTTAAAGGCTGTGGTGGGGTGTTTTCCTCCCCGCAGGTGGGCAAAGAGGTTTGCCGGACAATCAACGGCCAAATCCTCCTGACACCACCTTTGGGTTTAGGACTCCAGGAAGGGGAAACTCACCAATCGAAGGTCGGTGGTGGATGGAGTTCTGGCAGTCGAGAAAATGGGTTCAGGCCTGGGTTCAGGCCATCTGGTGAGTGGCACTTCCGAAGGAAGGGGGACCCAAAAGTGGGTTTTAACCCTCTCCTGGGTTTCGGCACCAATGAAAGGAAAGTGACCACAACACTCAGAGCAACCAAAAGATCTTTATTGCAGCAGTGCAACAAAGAGAAAAGAAAGAAGGAAAGAAAGAGAGAGAAAAGAGAAGAGATGAACAGGGAGAGAGCAAGAGCAAGAGAGAGACAGAGAGCGCGCGTAAGAAAGATAAAGAGCAAGAGAGAGAGAGCAAGAGAGAAAGAGCAAGAGAGAGGGGGGCCTGGCAGGAGGGAGTTTTTATAGCCCAAATCTAATGGGGCCTCTGGGTCTGCAAGCTGCCTTATTGGCCCAAGGGGGGGTTAAGTGTTCAGCCTTAAGCAGGGTTGAATGTTCAGACTTGAGGCAAACAGGTGATAAAGGACCAGATAGAGGGGGGTTTGAGTGCGTGGGCTATCTTGCAGCCAACATCTGTTCAGCCTGCCCTGCAGACAACACAGTTCAGCCTGCTCTGCACCCAACAATATGAAGTGGGTCACTTAGCTAAATGCTGATGAGAGATCAAGTAGGAAGAGCAGAGAGCAAATGATCACTGGAATTGCACCCAGGAGTCATGAGAGAAGTCCTAGGGCAGCAGATGTGGCTGAGTGAGACAGAAGCCAGACTGGAAAGAGCTGAAGAGAGAGGTGGGGCTATGCTTCTCCCCTAGAAGTCTTGCCATAGAGACAGCAGAGTCATGATGAGGTTGTACTTGGAGGGTGGTGTAGGGTCAGTGGAATGTTCTTTGTAGGATGGGAGGATGCTGGGGCCCTTTGCACAATAATGGAGGTGATGGAGCAGAGAGGGAGAAACTCAGCTTAGCTTGGAATATCTGTCGCTAGAGATAGGACAGAGGCTGCATGTGGAGATGCTGCCTTTGCCAGGAGCAAAGGCCCTTCATCCCAGAAACAGTGGGGAGGGGCGGGGGGAGGAAGGGTCAGTGAGGGGAAGGTGTGACTGCTGCTTTGTGACAGGGGGAGAACCTTGTATTGCTTCTTTGAAATGGCTTTTAAAAAAAAATGGTATATATAAGCAAAGATTATCTGCTAAGAGCAGAGGATGGTGGAAGGTTAGTGGGCAGAGAGGGTATCAGATATGTGTGTTGGGGCTCTCAAAAAAGAATGGAAGAAGTGAAATAATCATAGTCATTTTAGAGAGGGAGACAACACCACAGAAGGAATCCAGAGAAGTGACTTGGATGGCCATGCTGACTTGAGGCACATATGAGATTCATGGTTATGAATTTAAAGTGAGATTTATTAGCATACTTGTTCTTTGTAGAATTTGTGGATTTTCCTCCAGCAATAGCCAGCTATTTAAGTGCAGGTGAGAATATAGAAGAAATTTAAGTCTTTTATCTTTTTCAAATATGTGTAATTTTTTTCTTGAGACACTACATAGGTCTAAACAAAGACACACAAGGAAGAAATGCAACCATTTAATGATAACATTTGTAATTTTTACATATGCATAATTTCACTCCTGTGGTTAATTTAGTAATGCAAGCAATAAAATTGGGGAACAGCAATAGCCCATTTAATCCCTCATAATCTTTCTACAGTCAGCAAGATGCACCTAAGTGCCCTTTAAAAAAGATTGATATATAAATTGTGAGTCTCTTTGCTGTATAAATGCAATATTTCAAGAAAATACTTAAACAAAAGGCCATAAACTTTGTGCGAACAAAATTCTTAATTCAGTCAGTATCCATCTAAGCCATTTGGCACTCCACTCCTTTAAAAAATTTTATGCTGTCAACAGAGTGTTTATTTTTCATATTTTTGGATATGACTATGTGGATGGGAGGCATTGGATGCCTACACAGCTTGGATTTTGCCTAAGATCAATTGATTTTAAGATGGCCTTTTATTATACTTTTATATAGTACTGGGAAATACTAGTATTTCATTAACGAAAAACTGTACTGGTGATGTATTGGATAATCAAGTTTGCAGATAAATTTTCACCAGCATTAGCTTTATTAGCAAGCTGAAAATGGGGGTTCACTACCAAATTATAGACACATTAGTAAATATTATGGCTATTATGAGAAAGGTTATATTTTGCTCTTGCTACTGTAAAAATGCTATTTGTTTGAAGGGGAAACAATGGTAGTGTGAACTTTCAATTAAATACAACTCCCTTATTATGGTGAAGACAAAATGAGCTGAAGAAGGAAGGAAAATTTTGCAGTTACACTCCACAGCCCTGAATGTACTGAGAGAGGTTGCGATTTTGACAACGATTTCTCCATGCCACCCTGCAGAGAAAAGGGAAACACACAAGCAAAGGTTAAAACATATCTGCATTGTAGTATACATACTCAATTCTTTTTGTGGGAGCAAAAGATCCTATCCATAAATATCATTCAGGTTACAATTAGACCCAGGTACTGCTACTGATTAAGTGGAGATGAGTATACAAGATGCTTTGCTCATCCTCAGAGGCCTCCATAGGCACAGAATGCTGAACACAAATGTTGAGCTATGTGCATGGCCCATTTCTTATTCCACAAATTGTTTCAAATATGACAAGGAGACCAACATGGGGTGCGTGCCTGTAACCATAGCTGCTCAGGAGGCTGAGGCAGGAGGACTACAAGTTCAAAGCCAGCCTTAGCAATTTAGTGAGGTCCTGTCTCCAAATAAAAAATAAAAAAGGACTGGGGCTGTGGTTAAGTGTCCCTAGTTCTATCCCTTATACAAACCTCCCACTCCCCCGCCCCTAAAAAAAAAAAAAAAGATATGATAAAGAACTAGTATAGGGTGGAGAATATTTAAAACTCTAGAAATCCCTAAAATCCACTGAGGAGTAAACGGGCAAGACCGTGAACCAATTCAAGCAGATTGTTTCTTCTGATGGAGGTAATACATTGTGTCCCTTAGGCCCAAAACGGCAACTTTACATTCAGAAGGACACTTAGGTCTTTGAATTTTTTCTCTCACTGCATATATGAACAGCAGGGTAAAACAGTTTCCCCTTTCAAACCTTAAAACATACCATGCTCTAATGCCTTGTGGGTCACGGACAACCCTCTTTGCACAAGTCACGGCTTGAGAGATGTCATCTTGCAACAGAGCTGGAAGAGAGGTGGTGAGGCATGAAAAGGATGTTCTAGCAATTTCATTAGAAGTTTACCCTTATTCAGTTTTATTATGTTAGGCAGAGGAAGCAAACCAAGAAGTTCTTTTCCAAGAATTTATATATCTGTGATTGTTGTGAAAAACTTCCTTTTAATTCTTTTCCTTGTTGACATGAAATAGCACATTGTTTCTCAGTTTCTAAATTGTTGGAGGCCCTCAATTATTATCTAATATGACAAAAGCTCTTCTTTGTACACTGTGAAAAAAGACAAGCCCAGAATTTTTTACTCAGGAATTCTACCATTGATGATTTATCTCAAAGAAATAATAAGAAGTCTGGGGATATGGCTCAGTGGCAAAATGCACAAAAATGAAAAAGAATTTAAAGAGAGAGAGAGAGAGAGAGAGAGAGAGAGAGAGAAATATATTAAAACCTCACATGATGTGTAATCAGGAAGCTATTTATAGCAATTTATAAAAAGGAAAAGTGGAAAAAACTTATTAGTGGAATTCTCTTTACCCTTTCAAATAATAATAATAATAACATAGATTTGTATGAGTTGATATGGCAATAATTTTATGTGATGCAAATTGTAGAGCAGGATAAATTAAATTTTTATAAAAACATTTGTATCTGGCTATGTATATGTGTGATATAACTTTGATTTGATGTGTATAATTTACATGTTGATGTACATTCTGAAAGAGTATATACCAAAAGTTATCCATGGTTATAAATCTCTAGGTAGTAAGACTGCGGATGCTATTTCATCTTGCTTATATTTTCTAAATATTATTCAATGACCATAGATTATTATATAATACAGAGTAATTTTAAAGCAAATCAGATAGGTTAAAAAATATTTTAAAACTGATCTACACTTTGGAATTTTAACATTTAAAATTTTTAAAATATCAAGTCTACAATATGTATGCACTATTATATGCACTGAAAATTGCACATGCTATTTCTATTTTCATGAGTTCAGGAGTCTAGTACTCCCATACCTTATATATGTAATGCACCTTGTGAGTTCTTTTTCTTATTAAAACATAATGTTTCATCCCAAGTACATAAATACGTAAGGTAATGTTTTAGGTGTGATAATGATTATTTAGGAATTGTATATTTTGGAGATTCAAGCTAGAGGATTTAGAAATAAAATGTCAATGTTTCTAATTCACTTTTAAAATCTCAGCAAAATCTGCATACACATACAAGTAAAATCTATGGAAAAATGTGAATAACTATTGAAAGTGCATAGTCATCTGGGTATTCATTATATGAAAACCTAGCTTTTTACATATTTAGAATATTTAATAATAAAGCATAAAACAATCAAAAAAGGACCACACAATGAAATAATCCTTAAGCTATTTTAAGTGGATACATGGAATGGCAATGTTGTGGAATAGCATCAATAAGGTCATTAACAATAAATGAGCAGACACTCTACCACCGAGATGGACTTTTTCTAACTCCCTGACAAATCCTTCAAGGCTATTGCATTCACTTGAACATCTGTTCTTGTAAATATATGCAGGTAGTTCTTGAGCCATCACTCAAATATTATCTTGTCTTACCGCTGCAGGATATACCACAGGCATTAACTGCTCTTGGGGTTTTGCCATCATTACACCAGTAGCGGCTATTGATCTGGAATATCCCATAGTCAGTACTTCTGCTTCCAGGGTTGTAGTTTGTAGCTCTGGTGTTGTAACTACTCTCCCATT